TATGATCACATATACTTGCCCATCAGTGCTGCCATAAATCTCGTCATTAGCGGAGTGCAATTAGTGATGCTGTTTTATGCAACCAATGCTATAAGGTAAAAAAATACAGAAAGCACAAACCAGCTGAACTACATTTTTGTATATGAAATGGTTCGGTAAATGGTGAATTAGTCAACAGTTTATTTATTTATAATTTTTACACAACACACGCACAGAATTACATTAAATTACATAAATAATATCTTTAAAGTATGGAGTGTGACGGGCGGCCTTATCGCTATTACGCGATCTCTTCCAAGCGACCCCTTATTATTATTATTAATACGATTTAAACTACTTATATTTATTTAAAATTGTATTTTACATTAATAAAGTATGACGACGCGGGCGGAGCTTGAATCTAATTAAGATTTCTTAAATTATGAATATTTTCTAACATCCTCATGTTAGGAATCTTTTAATGTATTGTGTTTTATCATTACATTTAATGCAGAGCAATATATTGACCAAAATTGTATATAACTACAAATTTAAATAAGTAATTAACATAATTCTCCCAAACTCTCGTGTGTGGCAGCATGAAGCTAAATATGTTTTATAAATAAGAATAGATCTCGATTCTCGATACGATTTTAACAACATCATTACAAAGCAAGTAATTAGTGTTTTTGCGCTTAAAAGTAACAAATATACATACATCTTCACAAGGTTAGGCGTTTTTAACATTGGGATGTTTTCGTACAGAAATTCAATTGATGGTAATGAAAATACTTGGCTGTCCGTGAATGTTTTATTCTTAATTTTAGGTTTATTTTTGGAGTCACTGTATTTCTAGCGATTTACTTTACAACTGTCAAACAAACGTGATGGAGGTCGAATCGTGTAATTTATCAAACGTTTCATTTGACTTGATGAAATATTAAATGTTAATTCTCTGGTTAATAATGCAAATAATCATTTGAGGTGTACGTGGTGACATTTTCATTATGACCCAGTTAGTAAAATATATTTTTGGGTGCTGTATGATTGAATGGACTATTAAGTCATTATAAAAAAATATATATAAAATTATTTACAAGTACAACCTAATAAATTGTGTAAGGCTTTCATGGCCATCGTTAGGCATATCATTGTCTTTCAGGCTGTTCGGCAAACGTGAGCTTGAAGAGGTTTTCAACGTTTTGCCATCACGAGCGGACGGCGTCATCAGGAGATGTTAGCTCCTCGATTGCTCGAAGAATTATAATTGTGATGATAGTGTATTGATGAAGAGGGAAGTTGGCAGGTGTGTCAAGTATAATTTGTGCTAAATGATTATAAGTATTTATGATGATTGCCCGTAATTCGAACCCAATACTCCGTAACTGTAATAATTTGAACTTAGACTGCCCTATACTTAATGCAATGCGTTGGAACATTATACCACGGAGGTATATTATTAATATAAAAACTTATTTGAACAATTCTAAGTCATACAGCGTCATAAAATGTTCGCGAGCTCGAAACAACAAACAACAGTAGCCATAAATCATGCTCCGTTCGCAGACAACGTTATTAGAATTGGTTCTCAGATTAATTATCATTGTTATAAGACTAATTCTACTATATTAGGTAAGATTACGTTATATAATAATTTATTTTTATGTTTTTCTTCTTACAACCTGTTATTTATCTGTCCAGTGGACTGTGTATGTTCTGTACGTCGATTACAAGGGAAACGAAATATAATTTAAGATATTTTGGTATTTTTCTGTATATTAATACATCTTCTATTTGTATGAAATGCTTTTTCCTGATCGCTGACAGAACAACATACAGCAAAACCTTTTTGTTTGTCTTATTATCCGTTCAGGATAGAAACACTAAATGTAAGAATTACGCTTCAGGTGTTAGAAAGTTCCAATTTAACACCTGAAGGGATTTGTAAATTAGGCTAACAAGCAATCACAGATCTGTTGCCATTGGACCCATCTGAGACAACAGATTTGTGATTCCAAAACGCTTAAAATATTGTATAAATGATTTTTTCATTGAGATGAGTGCCGTTATATTCATTTCCTAAGAGAATATTATAATGTAGCGCGGAAAAGCAGTGTCAATTTGTTTAAGTATTTTTTGTGTTTTATGTATATTGGTTGGTGGACAAAACAGAAATATGGGACTCAATCTTAATACAAACTTTCAAGCCTTCTAAGATAGATACACGCGTGATTACACTTCAGCAAAAGGGCCACAGAAATACTACCAACTTATTGTAAATACTATTTAGAATTCTAAATAAAATTAAAAGCGTTCACTATTAATATGCCGAAGTTTGAACATATAGTTGCAAATCGATAAAACACTATGAAATACAATGCTAATAGCTGGAGTCAGCTATTTTATTTTACTTCCAATACCAAAACGTTTGCGTAGTTTGCGCTTTGAACTAACATTGATGATAGATAACGGATTAATATAATGATAGAAATAAAAATATTGGCGGTTCGTAGAACTTTTAAAGCAAACATTTGAAATGTATTTTGAATTCTTACACTCATTGGAGAGTTAATGTACAAACCATTGAACTGCACCCAAATAATAATTAATGTTCTCTTTCTTTAGCAACAGTAACTTTATCGACATCTTAGTTATCTGTATATCTTAAAGTATTCCTAACTACTACCTTTTTACTCATTGAGAAGAAGCTTCGTTTTTCTTTAACCAGCCACTTTAAACTCTAATGATGCATCATTTTAATGACTGTTACGGTTCGTCACCTCATCAGTCAGCACTTTGTCACTATTGCCTTAGTTATTTTAAAGCGCTTTTAATTGGTTTAATTCAATAGAATTTAAAAGGGTTGATTTAAAGTGTTTAAAAATTATCGTTTTGCAAATCAACATTGGCTACTACTAAGAACTGTTTGTATTTACGTAGTTACATTTAAAAAAAATAACCGTTTAAATAAAACGCTTTAACGGTTTAAAACGCGATCACGGAGAGACTATCTCACGTCTCCCCGTGACCACGGCTGCTGCAAAGCATCCGAAACGTCGGGCTGTCGTTAAAAATAATCAAACAAGTTTGACGAAAATATATCGCGTTTTAAACCTTTAAAGTGTTTTATTTAAATGTGTACTACTCGCGTAAATTACAGTATTTAATTTTAACCGTTTAAAACGCGAAATATATCAGATCGTAACGGTAGGTAACGTTCGTAACTTTAACGTAGATCTTTAAAAGTAGGTATACAAATCTACTATTACTAAAGCCTAGATGGAAAACAAATGAATACTAATGGTTAGGTCACTAACACGTTATGCGAAGCCTACATTAAAATTCAAAGCGTTACGCACACCGCTTTTGCAGAATCCACAATATGACTGGATTTCAGACGTTCGACCGCCATTGAGAGTAAGCTACGTAGAGACTTGTAAGTCGACTTTAATTACGGCTTGAACCCGAGTCCCTTGAAATTATAGAAAAGCCGAGGGAAAGCCTAAATTACGCTCTACATTTTCCATACGCTATATAATATTATAATTTTTATTTCAATACGTGGTCACGGTGAGAATATCCGTAACCACGGCTGCTGCAAAGCATCCAAAACGCCGGGCCGTAGTTAAAATAATTTTCACATAAATTTGACTAGTTAAGGTGTGTTATTTTAATGCGTACTATTCGCGTAAACTACACACAACATCACTACATAGTATGAAACAAAGTCGCTTTTTCTCTCTATGAACGCTTTTATCTTTACAAATACGCAACGAATTTGGATGCGTTTTTTTAATAGAGAGAGTGAATCGAGTGGAAGGTTTTTATAAACAACGTTCACAGAATAGTGTATTTAGTATCATTATAGCACCTAAGCAAAGCCGGGCGGGTCGCTAGTTTATTATAGTTTATTTTAATGTTTTTGAAGAACACGAAAAATAATCCTGAAAAAATATATAACAAAAAAATGGTTTTAATTCATACAGAATCATCGTCTGAAACACGTCAATATGTTGTTTCAAATGACAGAGATTATCTATATTCATCTAGGCTGTGTTGTACATAGACTTTCCTGTATTTTAATGATTTTTTTAACTAGTATTTAGTAGGAGGTTATTTCAACTAGTGTTATTTAATTAACAGTGCAAAATGTTGAGTATTTCTCGACATACTGTCTCAGTTGCAACTTGGATTGGATTATAACATAGTTCACATTGTATGCAAATTTTGGTTTAATGTGTGTCGTAACTCTGCAAGGTTTGTCGCCAAATTGCATTTCGATACAGCATTGATCCAATAATTTATTCGATTCAATAAATTGTAGAATTCCGTTTGTCTAACGTTACGAACTTTCTGAGTTATAAGAAATTAACGTTCATTCTCCACCGGGCTCAATAACAATAATTTTTCTGAAATAACTTCGGATAAATTCGGATTTCGTCTGGAAATTATTAAATGGGTAGGATTATCGATATTTCGTGCGGCTCATGAACCACCTTCGACAGATAAAAAGCCGTGAAGTTTAATCGAATTTCGGTTTCAATCGGTGGATTTCCGAATATCTAAGGCCATAGATAGACAGCACATCTTGTTTAGATGTTATATGGCTGGCCTGTTACACCTACCATCGAGTAAACATCGTGGTTGTCTTTCCTCCTCTATCATAAAAAAAAAACAAATTAGGTTTTAGTAAATATAATGATTGTTGAAATAAGACTGAAGTACGATTTGCATACTAACTAACAAAATTGAGATGTAATTTGGACTGATTGATGTTTGTGCATGCATAAATGTACAGCATATATTTACAAGTTTAGTAATTATATTATTTGATTTTCCCTTTCTTTACTCCTAGAATTAAATTTTGCAAAATTATTATGTTAAGTTATAGTTTTGTAGTTTATTAAGTGCACTGATGCAAAATAGATGTTTTTGATAGATAGAATATATTGTTAATATGTTGTCAAACCATAATATTTTGGTAAATGTTATATGTATTGAAATTCCTTTCAATATTTAAAATGCATCACCTGATCGTGCTCCAACGGCGCAGCTACGGCACTATTTACTACAAAAAGAGAGGGGGCGTCTGGCCGTTTACCCCCGACGGCGCGTGTTCGAAGCGCTTTAAAGAACTCACACAGGAAACACGTATAGGTTATTTAGCCCTGGCCGTGGTCCGTCGATAGTCTCGCGTTGTTTTGTTTACGCGATGCGTGTAGGGCGGGCGGCGCGTTCGCGACCTACGCGCTACGCGCGCAGCAGAGCAACAGATACGGCGAGGATCTGAGTGCTCAGCGGCTGAACGAGCTGCCAGCCACCGCCGGCGCGCGCCTCTCACGCCTCCCCCCTACCAACCGCACCCCCTCTGACGTCACCGGTGAAACCTCCGAAAATTCACATCAAAGATCATTGTATCCCATCTACTGGTCTCTAATTTAGTAGTCACAACTGCCTCTTTTCCTAATTCAGTTGTATTTGTGTTAGTTATTAATTATTATTATCGCCCACCACGTACGCCGGATTAATGAGATTTAGCTGGGGTTCAGGCGACGCATTCCGATATACTATAATGTTAAACGTTCTAATAAAATTAAGTTTTGCTTAGTATTAGGATAAAATATACGCTATCTAGCTCATAAGTAATTTGTTGACTTTTAAATAAAACACATTAACGGTTTAAAACGCGATCATTTTACGCGATTAGTTAAACTTATTTAAAAATGATTTTTAACCGTGGTCACGGGGAGACTGTCTTCCCACGGCTGCTGCAAAGCATCCGAAACGTCGGGCCGAAGTTAAAAATCATTTTCAAATAAGTTTAACTAATATATCGCGTTTTAAACCGTTAAAGTGTTTTATTTAAATGTGTACTACTCGCGTAAACTATAGACAGTATTTAATTTGTTGACTATCAATCAAAAGCCTTTTATTCTTTAATAAAAAAAAAACATCGTGTGTGTACTTAATGTGGACCTTGTTCGTGGTGCCGTCGGCTAGTTACCGCTCGCTATAAACTCCCATTGTTACACATTTAATCCACTAAGTGCTAAAGCCTCCGTTCAAAGATGTATTCCTTCTTGTGCCTATTGTTGTCAAAATATTACCTTCGATAACGGCCCAGGGGTCTAACTCAGTCGGTCTGTACACTAACACTTGCTATATTATTTAATAGTTGCTATAACTTTGAGTGACGACCACGGTTGCATTTTTTAGCTAGAGAAAGAAAGACAAGCAGGGGTCCATTTCATGGTAAGCGAAATTTCCCAGCTACATAACATCTATACAAGATGGGCTGTCGAACTTTTTATGCTTTGGATATTCGGAAATTCACAGGCTGAAACCGGAACGCGATTAAATGTGATCTTCATCTATGGAAGATGGTTATTTAATTGGACATTTATTATCCAGATTTCCAGACGTAGTCCACAAACGTCAACATGTTTCCGAAGAATTATAAATTGATTAGAAAAGAGGTCGGAGGTACTAATCTCGTGAAGTCATTAAAAAAGTTTCGTTTGAATAGGCCACAAAAGCGACAATAAACACAGATTCTGGTTAACTACTTTTAATATTGCTCTATATATAGGACCGAATTGTATGTAAAACTTTATATGTATATGTCATGTTGTGCAAGGAACATTGAGATCATATATGATAGCAATGTTTTTTTGCAACGGCGTTTCACATTGTTGCTTAGTGTTGCATTAAGCGTGAGAAGTCCTATTTTTTTTTCCCGGAGAAATATAAAAAATTGTTTCTTACTAGCAAGTCACAGATAGCTTATGAATAAAGACCGAAAAAGGGAAGGGAAGAAGGGAATCGAGATTTTACTCAATGCGGAAATAAATGAAAAATAATTTTATTCTGTAACCTACATTTTCCAAACGTAAATTCGTAGTAGGTCTTGAACTCTGATATTTAAATTTTGTTGTTTGCTTACAAGAGAATAGGGATGACAATTTACAAAAAGACACGAAATTTTCATATAATTGGATACGGACGCAAAAATATCTAGTTTAAAGGACATCAAACGTATCATTTCTTTCTTTAAGGTTACCCTAACAAGAATATAACTATTGATTGGTCTAGAATAGATCTTCAGAATCAATATAAGAGAATCTCTAATATTGATTATTTAGACGGTACAATTAGATATCCTTACGCGGTACACGGTAGCTCAACTGAGCTACCGTGTACTGCGTAAGGACACGGTGTAGCTCAATTCGTTAGAGCAATAGAACGGAAAGCTGTGTATGCTGGTTTAAGACCTACCCGTGTCCTAAATTTATTTCAATGTTAAAAAGAAGACACTTTAAAAAACTGTTGATGTGATTTAAATAAATAATTAAAACATATTCCGTAATATGAAATCTATTTAGTTATACCTATTGGTCTAGCAGTTTAATTAAAATCAAATAATATGTATAGACAGTAGTTTATTAAAGGTATTATGCAGAAATATATACATAATTAACTGATTTCGAGTAGCCCTACATTCCGGAGCGCAGACTTTAGGCTAGCGTGCGATGAATAATTAAACAATAGAGTACACACGCACTTGTGGCAAATTACAACCTCATCTAACCATAGTATCTATACTAATATTATAAAGCTGAGTTTGTTTGTTTGAACGCGTAATGCGATTCTTCTTGAAATGGTATATGTCTATCTTTTAAGATTAACTCGCAATATTGACCCGATGGGCCGCGGTCGACGTCATAGATAACACCTATAATGTGAAAAAGAAGAAGATTGTGTGTAAAAAAATAATGTTATGCTCAAAATACTCCTCAAGCGGGTGCAGTCGCGGGCACAGCTTGAAAAAAGAACTATGTCTGAACACAAAAAATGTGAGACAATATGATTCCTTTGTTCAATTAACTTCTAATTACAGTATGTACAGCAGAGTGTTCGAGCTACAGTAGAAGTCATATTAGAAATAAATAAAAGCTAAATCTCGCTTTTAAATTACAAAGAGAAAAGCTTGTGCAGTGTGACTTTGATAACACTCATTTATTGTTTCAGAACTCTTGTAAAATACGAGCTGCAAAAATTTTCACTTCAGTTACAGTCCGATCTTGCTTTTATCTTAAGAAAATGTAAAATTATTTTTCCAGACTGTGACGACTTTGGCAAAATAGTAATAGTTATATACATAGTTTTAGGCAATGAGACCCGTGAGTTGCATTGCGGGAAACGTCAGTCCTTGGTTCGAATGACAAGGTAGTAAAAAGACAGAAGTCTTATATCCAAATAATTGGTTTTATCGAATTTTTATAGTTGTTCCATAGCTAGCCTTTATTAACTCTTTAATATTTTAAAGTATTCCTCCTTCCCATTTAAAACAGGCTCGATTTTATAACAAGTATCCTTGCTGTTCAAAATAAATACGTCCTGTTTTCACAGAAGCCGACGCGCTTTTAAAACATCCTGAATAAATTATTTGATGAAAAGGACAGAAAACTTTAACGAAGAACATCCGACTTGAAATCCGGAGCGTAACTTGCAAATTCATTTAGAAGGCTTAGATTGAAAAATATTTGTTCTATCAGCTATCTAAAATAACAAGTGCCCTTTCACTCTTACCATTAATTCTTAATTGCTTTATTGATGAATGCCTATAAGAGTTTATGTACATTGGAAATATATTGAATGGATTAAAAGTGCGATGACTTAAGCAGAAATCGAACCTATGATTAAAAACATGTGTCAAGTGTGGGTTGAAATAAATACAATACGTTTTCTTTCTAAACTTCACTCTTTTTATAAAATTCATCTACGACATAAATTATTGCTTCAAAGTTATTTAAGGGCTCCCCATATGAAAATGTTATGAATTTACATTCCTTCACCGGCGGCGTGAGTAGGTGTGTCATTAGGTAAAAATATAATATTTATGAGTCAAAGTATAGCGCTACGAATATTATTTTTATTTATAATAACAATATCTTGGTGTAGACATGAAAATATATCCACGGACTGAACTGATATATAGCAACGAGAAATTGTAACGAAACCAAATCGTATTTCACTTTATCTGACGTGACGAAGGGCCATATAACGCCAGTATAAAAAGAGAAACGGAAAAGCTTTTGTCCTTGTTGAGGATCTCTCAAATTCAGAGCTAATACGTTTTATCCTAGCCGAGTTATAATTAAAAACAGTAATCATTTAGAGTTTTTTTATGTTTGCTTGTCTTCCGACATAGGCCCTATCATATTCTTTCGTAGTCTTACGTGTCAAACATGAAACGTAGTTAGTGTAGTTTTAAGGTCTTTATCATTTTTTTTATTCCATACAATACTGTTTTGTTTACGCGAGTAGTGCACATTCAAATAAAACACTTAACGCTTTAAAATGCGATATGTATTAGTTAAACTTATTTGAAAATCAGTCTAACTGCGGCCCGACGTTTCGTTTAGAAACCCCGTGACCACGGCTGCTGCAAAGCATCCGAAACGTCAGCCGTAGTTTAAATAATTTTAGCAAATATATATCGCGTTTCGAACCGCTAACACGTTAACATCTGTACGATATTCTAATTATTATAGGCGTGATTTGGTAGTTTCCCATTCGCCATTACCCAACCATCAAAACTATAATGAAAACGACTGCGCGAAATTACACCTATTATACCCATTATAATGAAAATTGAGACATCTATTTAATTGTACCCATTATGATTCCGAAAGTCACATTCAACACAGGGTGAAAATTCAACACGTGTATATGAGCGATACGTTCCTACTAGTCAAGTCAAGCTTCGATGAGTCTTAAAACACATTTTCAATACCTTTTATAAAGATAACTATAGACATAAAAACTAAGCTAAAGCGTTCAATGCAGATGCTGTACCAATTGAGCTACCATGTTTAACATGACATCATGCTGTTTTCTCTTCATGTTGACCATAATATCACTTCGACATATTAGTTGTAGCGACCAAAGATAATTATTACACATCCATAAAAACATTAAAGTTGGTTTTAATATAAGATTTCTTAGTTGATATACCTTTGAATAAATAAATACGAGATGCTGATATTTTTGGTACCATAAAACGACTGCAAAAAAATTATTTAACATACAGAAATACGTTTACGAAATTATACCTGGTTCGCAGCAATTTTAAAGCATAGTCGTCTTAAGCTTTTCACAGATTTAAATAAAACACTTTAACGGTTTAAAACGCGATATATTAGTTAAACTTATTTGAAAATGATTTTTAACTTCGGCCCGACGTCTCCCCGTGACCACGGCTGCTGCAAAGCATCCGAAACGTCGGGCCGAAGTTAAAAATCATTTTCAAATAAGTTTAACTAATATATCGCGTTTTAAACCGTTAAAGTGTTTTATTTAAATGTGTACTACTCGCGTAAACTATATACAGTATTTTCACAGATTACCAATAAATCACGTACATCGTTCATATTTAAAGTAACGGCTGGAACGTGCCATTTTCAGCTGAGTCGTTCAACTTTAAATTGTGATAGAGGTACGGCTCACTTAAAAGCCTGTGAGCCTAGGCTCTAGAAAGATGTTTAAAACATAGTCACATATTGTATTAAAGGTTTTGAATGTATATTAAATATTTATCGTATCTCGGTCCCTATCAAATTTGTCATGTTGTGAAATTGAAGGTGTTTTATTTTTTCACATTTTATTGGACATAATGACATACTATACTCAATTACATTTTATATGTTACACTTACTTATCTTTAAATTCCATCTTTATTACTTTAAACGTTTATTATCAACGAAACAACTTCTATTTCAGCGTAAAAATAGCAAGAAAGTGACTTTCAGCATTTTGCGTAGTCGCTAGATTGTTGCCAATTGTTATTCAATTAAGGCGGCGTATACAAAATTTCATTAGAAATCTTATAAAAGTCCATTAGCGCGAAACTGCGTCAGATGGAAATGCCAAAGGTTTTCAGGGCTTACACGTGTCTATGCCGTTTTATTATGACTTGGACGTTATGGCTTGACGTTGGGAACAAAATCAATCTGCTAGGAAACTATTTGCAGTCTTTTGGTATACTTACTGTAATAAGTCTAATTAATTATATCTTTTTTGAAATATAGTTTTATAACGGGAAGCCCCTTCAGCTTAACATGTGTTTAAAGACAACTTTAAGATGACGCGCAAGCGCTATTACGTAGTTTAGTATTTTTATAATGTACCAATATAAGTATACTATCCTAATAAATTTCTATTTTCAACTCATTAAAACCTTACAGTATAATACTCTGCCAACATAATAGTCGTTTGCCCTTTACCAACTTTCTCAGTATCCATGAAACCGTGTTACATTGAATATTTCATGTTGATTTTATAACGATGTTATAAATTTTAATAGGGTGTCGATTTCCAGACGCGTATTTCCTAACAAATATAATTTTTGACCTTTACCGGCGGTCTGAGGCGTCGCTTTACCCGTACACTGGATACGTCGAAATATCAGACTTCGGAAACATTTATTGCGAACGTCGTTATTCATAACTAATACCATTCAAAAACTTTGAATTATATTCGCCTCTTGCTGAAGTTCGATAAGACCGAGTTTAAAAGGGATGGGGAATATCGTATTTTAAATACAAGTTATTTAAATATTGCGCGAGAAAGTTTCAGGGGTTTGAAACTCCCAAACTCAAAACGCCTCTTTGTGTTGCGGCTATGCAAATAGCGAAGTTTGCCAACTCATGGAAAATTGATACACGTTGTGGTCACAGTAATGAGCATCACTCGAGATGTACCGAACCGTGGCATTTAATAACAAAAGTACTTACATTAAGTACTAATATAATAATATGATCCGTATGTTCCACTTCTGTTAACACACAACAAGATAATTCAGTAATAATACCGAGACGACGGCGAAGTTTGAAATGGCAATTTGTTATTTTTATTTTTAATTAATAAAAGAGCATTATTTAAATACTGTCTATAGTTTAAGCGAGTAGTACACATTTAAATAAAATACTTTAACGGTTCTAAACGCGATGTATTTGTTAAACTAAGTTGGTCTCCCCGTGACCACGGCTGCTGCAAAGCATCCGAAACGTGAGGCCGAAATTAAAATCATTTTCAAATGAGTTTAACTAATATATCACGTTTTAAACTGTTAAAGTGTTTTATTTAAAAGAGCATTATTTTACAATAAATTTATGACCAGGCTTAAGACAGGTACTAAACAAAAACTTAATGATAAAAGTAAAAGTAAAACAAGGACACACTAGATGTATGTAACAACAGTCATTTGATCATTAATGAATTAACGTTTTAATGATTTAATGAAGCAAAAGTAATGAGCTTAATTTTCAATAAAAAAGTTAACCAAAGTTTCAAGCGAAAACAATACCTACAATAAACAAAAAAAATAACCAAAGTATAGTGCATAATTATAAATGCAACATTAATTGCTTCACAAACAACGCAGTGTATATTTCAAGTTACGCTTTTAGCACTATTAATTTCAAATGGACATTAATGAAGGAATGGCTCGTGAATAATAGCACTTAAAACTGCAATGCTGCTGCAAACTTTCAAATTAATATGTACAAGTTATTATAAATAGGACTAGGTGAACATTAGGTGAAAATAGTATAATCTATACTAATATCAGCTGAAGAATTTGTTTCTTTGTTTGTTTGAACGCGCTAATCTCAGAATCTACCGCTTCGAATTGAAACATGATTTTTGACTTGGTTAGAGCATTATAAAGGAATGATTTCTCCATGATGTCTATGTTTAAGATAAACTTCCAAAAACGACGGGACCCAAACGACGTCGTAGGTTATAATTATAAAGATTGAGTTCTCTTCGGTTTTGCTAAAACAAATTTTGTGCGCAACTATACTACGAGGACGAAGTCGCTGACATAGCTAATAATATATACATGATTCAAATGATAAAAGGTGAAATACGCATAATATTTTGGCTTAGGTCATTCGGCAAGCCACAGACTGAAACTGAAATTTCAAACTCAAAGCCATACTTGATTTCCGTCCTTCTGTTCGATATTTCAAGTACCCATTCAGCGTTCAGTTTTGCCAGATGGATTATATGTTAACGCGTGCACGGGACACTAACACTGAACACTCGTAGCGTCTCCTGACACAGCGAGCTAGACACTCGCTAACACGAAGCTAGGACGCGAAATACAATTTTTTCTAATTTAATGATTCAGGGTCGTTTTAATTAGCATGCTTTTAATTTTAATATCTGTACCTATTTATGTCTAACCGTGCGAAGCCGGACCGTGCCGCTAGTTAATAAATAAAGATGTAAATTGTATTGCCTCAAATGTTGTGTTTGTATTATTAAATTAAATAATTTTGCTGCAACAAACGTTTTATAATGCAAATTAGATTTAAAGCAGAAGAAATTGGTTATATATATTTCATATTTTATGGAAAATATATGCTAAGAGATACTACCATAACTTTAATTTAATGTTTACAACTTGTTTTTTTTTTCAACAGTTAGTAACTTATTCAGAGTCAAAATAAATCAACAGCGCATTTTGTTTAGATGTTAGGTAGGTAAAAAATACAGTTAACGGAAAATTAACATCCGACAGTGATAAAATTTAAACCTTAAAATGTTTCCTTATATACCAATTATCAAATTCTGCTCCAGATCGAAAGTCTAAATTACCGGTTAGGGGGTTATTATTGTAGAACATCTCGGATTTAATTCGTGTAACCATTGCGCCTCAGACGGGAAAATGTCATTTTAAATTAAAACTGTGCACATAAATAATTACTAATTCTAGTGAATTTCTAGATTATTCATGACATTATCTGTCCAAATACATAAACATGGATGAAGGTTATCATAAGTTCCTCTTAATATAATTACCTACTTGATTATACTATTCTGACATTCATTTTTACTTCTCTACTGTAAGCAACACTTTCGCCGACAAGTAAGTATTACGAAATCATTTGAAATAAAATTATTCCATAGTTACTAATAACATTATATTCGTTTATTTCGACATTTTAAATATTGTGTGTGAAATTCATTTCCAAGATATAGACACATCTGTAACTATTAAACAGATACATTTTCGTAGCCGTGCGTGTATAGAAAGAAGCGTAGAAGTCGATTAGATATGCTTGCCCTACCTAAACTGAAACTGTTTTGGTTACCGGGATTCAAACATTGGACTTCTCCCGCTGAACATTAACAAAATTTTTGACTATTGATCCACATAGTTCTTATATACGTTTTTCATAGTATATAGCGCGATTACTGTGTTCGGTCTATATATTAAAATGTATATAGTTAATATTTATTGTTTATTCCAAATTAAATGTTTCCATATGTCAGTTTTCTTTTCATTTTCACAGAATGAAACTGACATTAGTGTTATTTGTTGTGGCGTGTGCTTTGAGCCTCGCGTATGGAGACTTCATCTGTGGTTCGAGCTATTGTAAAGACCACCCCTGCACCGAAAAAGTCAGCGCTAAAAGCTGTAAATCACCATCGCTGTACCGCGCCAACCATGCTGGCAAATGCGCTTGCTGTCCGGCTTGCGTGACTTTGTTATGTAAGTACTAGTCGCCCCGCGGCTTTCCCTGCATAATGACATAAGAAATTTGCGTACTCCAGGAATGAGATGAATAGATTACGTCTTACTAAACAGTTTAAAGGAGTAAAAAACAGACTTTTAACCGGTCAAAACCCGAAATGTTTTACTAATAAAAACTGTTTATTATGTCATGCAACAAAAGAAAACAAACATCCATACAAACTTGCAGATTATAATCCGTTCCGGGCGGCCGATAGTTTGTGTTATTTTTTAATTCCTCCGTCAACATAACGATTTTATGTATCTTTTAATTGTGCCCCCTAATAAATGTTGAACTAACATTTAAGGTATAAAACCATCATATTTTTGATATAGCATTTATACGTTTAATATGACTAACAGCTAACTTTTTTCTTCCAGCTGAAGGAGCTGCCTGTAAAAAGTACAGCAAAGAAGTAGGAGAGACTCCATCGGCGATCTGCGCAGAGCCATTGAAGTGCTTGAAAGGAGTCTGCACCAAAGTAGCACCTAGACATTAACTTTATATTAGAATGCTATTATAATAAACAAAGTTTATTACAACAAATTAAGAATGGCAATAGAGTTTTTGTTTTTTTCTTACGATAAAAGGCATTGGTTAGTGAACCACAAATTACAAAGCAATAACTTGTATAGAATAAAAGTGTAATTTGACGATCACAGGATTAAAAAAAGTCACTGGCTCAAGTCCTGTCTTTGTAATTTCTTTTGTCAATCTTAAATGTTTTTTTTATAATTTGCAAACAATAATTTTTAAATAATAAATTGTATTTTGTCTTGTTTATTTGTTTCTATTTACCTACATTAGTACATTAAAATAATTGAAATAAAACTGCATTATAATAAAAAATTAGGTATAATTATTGGAAACGGTACTACATATTTCTACTTAAAAATATGTTTTTTTTATGAAACAGGACGACAAAATGCATTATCGACCTATTTCGGAGGATAACTAAGATTTCATAACGAAAATTTCAATGTCCGTAATATTATGATAAAATAATCGAATTACAAGCCAATGTTTTATAAAGTGTTCGCAAAAATAATACCGGAACCTTCTTCATTAATTATATTTGGTTCGCCTCACTCAGGAGTCCTTGAAAGATGGCCGTTCAAAACAAAATGTCAGAAACAGCGACCTAAATTTTAAAATAAAGTTTTCCATTTCTGAGAAAATTAGCATAAGGATTTCTCCTCTCGTTATTAGTTCTGCCCGTTCTTATTCGGTAACAAATCAATCTCAAATTTACGACGGCCTTTGAGATAAGATATATTAGGTTTTAGGGCTCATTATTATGTAATATTATTAAAATTTAAAATTCTAGAGTTACAACTGCTATTGGTAGGGGCAAATTTTATTATAATTAATTGCACAAAATTGATAGAAAGCTTTATAAAGGAGACAAATATACTTGTATGTAATTCAATGGGCGATCTTATCGCTTAAAATTGTTCTATAAGTGAACCTATAAAAGTTTGAATTTAAAAATCGTCTGTGTCACATGGGACTTTCTTTCTATTATTTAGATATAAAAGCCCAAGTAACGAAGTAATATAAAAGTATTCTCTAAATTAAATAAATAAATAACATATACTTTATTCTCTTTAAAATTTTAATAATTCTTTAGATTCGTCAAGAATGTTTACAAATGTTTGTTTGTCTGTTCATCGTGATTCTACAGTATGTTTTGCTTAATTTTTTACATTAATATATGTATTTGAAAGCATTTTATAACATCAAAATGACCGCCTCCTTAGCGTCATTATGTAACGCTGTTCTAAGCGCAAGGGGTCCTATACGGCCAAACTAAAATAAACGTAATAAATAGATTGAACGTAGTAGGGGCCGCGGTTCGATCAACTTACCTGTGAATAATAATGGGATGATGGAGTAAACACATTTATGTGTCCGTTTTACTAATCGGTTTTACAGAGCAAGTAGAGTTGATCTGACTTCTGTGCCGTGACCTACCGAAACAATGTATTAACTCCCCGGGATTCGAACCAAGAACTTCTCGCGGTTAAGCATTGTGATTAGGCAACACGTTTAACAATTTAGCTACAAAGGCGGTACATATTTGTAATGTGTAGTAATAAAAAAATCTTAAATAAATGCTCTCTGTAGTTTACGCGAGTATTACACATTGAAATAAAACACTTTAACGGTTTAAAACACGAAATATATTAGTTAAACTTGTTTCAAAATTATTTTAACTAAGGCCTTTAGCTAATATATTTCGCGTTTTAAACCGTTAAATTGGTTTATTTAACGGTAGTATGGGTAGAATTTTCGTATTTATTTGATTATATGATTTACATAATAATTGTAATATAATGTAAAATAAGTTGGTGCACTTTGTAACGTTTTATCTAAGTAACAGCTGTTGATAAAAAACAATCGTTCCCAGCGTCCCATGTACGATCACTTAGGTGATAAACAAAATGAGAGCCAGTTCACTTTTAATACTTTCTATGTGATCTCGTGTGTATATTTTATCATCTGTAATAAATAAATAGTTACCCTTTGACAAATAACGCAATATTCTCGTTTGATTGAGTTACTCGAGTAGACAGTAATTGGGTCAAATTGTCATATCGTAAACATATTAGAAGACGCATGCAAGACTTGTTTGCGATCTTTTTGAAGTGTGTACATTAGCCCTAGTTTGTATGGGGAAATTTTCACGAAGTAAATTTATTTAGTTCTCCAAGTGTAGTATGATTGAATTAGATAGCGAAAAACGAGGTATGTCTAGTGTATTTTATTCTTTAAATTTATTTATTAGGTATTTGGAATACTTTTCAAGGTGTCACCTCAACCTTTAATAGATCACGTTATACTGTTTGTCCCAGCTATCATCACTAATATAGTCGTGGTAGTTGTTAAAGGTAATTTTACGCTGGAAAAAGCATGGTGGGTCTAAGCTTCTTAGTCCTGTAACTGTGAGAGGTGAAACTGATTATCACTACTTACTAAATTCATAATTGTTATTTATTTATGTCGGATTATAATCTTATTTTTATTTTTTTATTTAATAATGCTGTATTTTTAGATATTATGCAGGCCCAGGATTCATTGCGAAGACGAAACAACAAAAGAACAGACCTAACACAAAATGGCACCAAAATACCCGAGAAGAAAGAAAAAGAACCCGAATTTGTTCACAGGGAATCTCTTCTTACCATCCTAATGGAAGAATCACTTCATATAAAAGCTATTTACCACATATTTGTTGCAATCTTGGTAATGCTTTTCTTCGACACTGTTATATACGATCTCGTGGAACGTGGAAAGCAAGTAAAATTATTTTCTAATATTAGTGATTCTCAGCAAAATTTAATTCGTTCTGAATTTCACTATACGACCATAACATAATCTTTCTACCACGCGAACTAATCAAAGTACTACTGATCTAAAAACTAAAATATTTTAACATTACCAAAAGCTAAAAGTAGCTGATAACCATGCCACAAACAAACACGTACTAGTAAAATTGTTAAGTAGCCATACTTAAGTTGGCAAAATCTATGTTAAATCATTAATTCTGAAATAACATATGCACGCTCTGGCCCAGTAGAATACCACGTAATACCCCAAACGAAATCCTTTCTGAAATATTATGCAAATAACCCTTAAAGGCCCAAAGGGCTTTGGAGTTAGAATTTACTAGTATTGTCCGATTTAATTTGGTTTTCTATACGTCTATAGAAACGCTTTAATACTATTGAATTTATACAGACCATAAAACTCTAGTATTTGATACGAACATTGAAATTAACCACGTCTATAAACGAGAACTAAAAGAACTACCAAAATATAACAGTCTAAATGACAAAACTGTCTAGATTAAAAAGATTGAGATTAGGCACAAAAGGCTAATCACGAATTAGCAATGTGCCTATTAGATATCCCGCATAGAGAATAGAAGACTTTACTACGAAGACACAAGAGGTTTGAATCCAAATATACTGAAAAGCAAATCATCCAAGGGAAATCGATTTTCCACAGACTCAACGTCGCTATTGCATCGGTGGTGTACGGTTTCGGTGACATCAAACGCGCCTTCAAGATTTGGCTATTCGAGCTCAGTCTGGCTCTCTTATTCTATCCAGGGTTGAGGATATATGCAGCGATACGGAAACTCATTACAAACAATTCACGTAAGTACTCAATCGATTATTACAAATAAAGTAACATTTTTGAAAGAAAAATAATCTCTACTAATATTATAAAGCTGAAGAGTTTGATTGTTCGAACTAATCACAGCACAGGCTAGTGCCTGAGACTAGTTCGCGCCACACTACACGGACAAAGTCGATGGCACAGCTAGTTGATAATAAAGGCAGGACCCAAAACCAGGACCAAAATCGTATCTAACTGTACTATTATTTTTCAATTTGCATCAAGAGGTTTTAAACGCGAAATACATGAGTACTAATTTGGGAATTATTACTACACAAGAAAACTACTGTGGAATTAAAATAAATGTTCCAATATATTTCGCATTTAAAGCGTTTATAGTGTTCTATTTAATAAGTATATATATTTATATATATAATCGCACATGTTGTATATGTGTACATATAATTCAAAGATTCTTTTCTTGTCCTGATTTACAAAGTATTTTTTTATTATACCAACTGATTAGTTTCAATCTACCCAAATTAAAATTATTAATTAATAAAGCAGTAAATTGAATGATAACATTATCACGCACTTTTGCATTGTCAAAACAACGTTACATTGTAACATAAAAGTATTATTCCCCGAGGAAACTTTTTTTGCATGAAATGTTACGTAACACGACCAATAAAAACGAAACAATTCCTATGTGTGTACAATTCTCGTAGCAATGTTTGTGACCTACTGAATTATTGAATGCTGTCAACTATTTAAATAAATAAAACCATTCTAACGGTTAAAACACAAAATATATTAGTTTTTTTTTTTTAATTTATTTTTGAAACAGCAAAAACGTCGGAATGTATTTTATTTCGCGTTTTAGCCGTTAAATGTTTCATTTGAATGTTTACTACTCGCGTAAACTACAGACAATATCTATTTCTCGATTTATTCAAACAATTCAATGAAATTATTTACAATATCATATATTATATGTATAGTGTGGTCGTAATTGCTATCTACTTATATAACATGATAACCCTTCGTTGAGTATCACTTTTACATATCATAATAAATGTAGATATTGGGTGCATTCGATGCAATTCAACAAATAAAACAATACATTTCAAGTTTGACGTTCTTGTTAAAGCTAGTGAACCACTGAGTCGTGGGTTCGATCACCACTGGGTACAATATGTTTCTAATTAATTTTTAATCTTCCTGAAGTACTGGATACGTCTGGAAGTCTGGATTTTAAATACGTGGTAAAATATCGAATTTCCCTGACCCCTGCGGTCCACAGATGAAAAGCCTCGAAGTTTAATCGAGTTTCGGTTTCAGCCTGAGGAATACTGAATATTCAAATATGTATAGCCAAAGATCTACAGCACATCTTGGTGTGATGTTGTTTGGTTGATGCATTTCACCATACACACCATTTCACAGAAGAAAAGCTTAGAAACCTCACATATGTTCTGTTTTCTTTTTTGAATATTCTTGTGTTTTGAAAAATATAAGTATTTATGTGAATAAAACTAAAAACTAATTCTTTTTAATGATATTTACGAACATTTTTCTAAACATTCACGTAAATAGAAAAAAAAGTGTTACCTAATTTATTTAAGATACGGCCATAGGAAGGACTATGAATGTTATTTAAACGTGATTATTATTGACAAAATACGATCGAACAAGCCAATCTTTTTACTTCATTTCAAAAGTTTGCCTCTGCGTTAGCACGCAAAGAGCTTTTGAGAGCATATTCATCACGCCACAGATTTTAACCCCTCTTCAATAACCTTTTCCACATTAATGGTTTCTGTGATCACTCAATAAACTGTCAAGAGCAACCGCAAATAATCGCCACTAATATAAATATTAGGGTTAGACGAAACCTTTGCTCACTACTTTAGGAAAGCGACAAAGACGTTATAATATAAACGCTATAACACATCGAATTTGGTTCAACTAACATTGAATTCGATTAGATATTGATTCGAATGTTATGTATATTATAATTTTTAAAAAAATGAGTAGGTCCTAGCTCTGAATTTAAAAGTGTCACGGTCAGAAGTCTATAGTATCGGTTCCAATTACCGCTATTAATTTGGTGGCGGTAATCTTTCAAGCCCGCATACCCGATTTGGAACAGCGCGGTAGGTCTAAGATGAGAAATACCTTGATGTGATCTAAAAAATAACAGTAAAGATAGCTCACTACTACTAACGCTGCCCAAATAATATATTATAACGATTATATGAGGTCCAATTCCGTTTTGTACCATGAATTTTGGCTGAATGTCGGTTCTTGTTACCACAGTGAAACCAAATGAACCAAGTCTTCACTCTATCCCTATTGTTTACTTATGTTTATCGTTTATGTATTAATCTGGTAAATATATATAAGTAGCAAGGACATAAACATTTTCTTTAACACTAATTTTACAAGTTATTATTGCTTTAATTAAGATATTTACGTGCAGTGTTTTGAGATAGTTAAGAAAGTTTAAAGCCTTTATTTAATGCTAGCTGGGCTAGCTAGCGACTTCGTCCGCATGAAATATTATAGTTATTTTGGGCAAAATATCATTTATTTTGGCAAACAACGTCCTCAGCTTTATAAATTATTGCTGTTACGACGTCGTCCCCTTTGCGTCGCATCGTTCTTGCAAGTTAATCTTAAAAGATAGACATGTAATATTATCGCGGACATTTATTTTTTAGATAATTTAAAGAGGAATAATTCTTTATTACATATTTTTGGGTTTTATGAACCGTTTTGGTAGCTTATGTAGCGAAAGCCCTCAAAGATGAATAATTTTCCCCGATTTTCACATTTCCATTGTTTCTCCGCTCCTGTTGGCCGCAGCTTGATGTCTTTTAGTCTAAAGTCTTCCCCGGTAAATGGTCCAACCAACACAAAAATATCTTTTAAATTCGAACGAGTAGTTCTTGGAAGCCTTATAATATTAATATAAATAAATGAATACTCCAATGACATTTTTTTGCCCATTGAAACAAAAAATGATTTAATCTTATATTATAACTATATTGTAAATTAGATTTGTCAGATCTAGATTCTAATCCACTTACGTGCATATGAAAGTGTGACCTTAAAAAGCAATCCCTTAAGTATAGTTTGAGTCATGTAGTTAGCTATCATTTTGTCTAAGTGTCAGGGAGCAACAGTCTGTGAAGTTCCTTTAGGCCCATCTTGGGCACAGAACAGACACATTTCTTTGTCTTTCTCTCTGACCGATTATTTACAGTTAAGTGGAGTAGAGTTGCTTTGTGCCCTACCCGACCGAACCTATGTTTTCTCGGAGTCAAACATAAGACCTCTAACGCTTAAATGATAAATATTTAAATAAAACATTTTAACGGTTTAAAACGCGATATATTATGTCTTTACTCTCTCGGCTCTGTCATCAACGGTGGTTCGTGATATCCCGATTTCCAGAGTAAGTTCAACATGCCTTTAAAAATATATAAATTGATTACATTTATGTGGGATCTGGTGTGGGTCGTACTCGCGACCCGTTCCTTTTATGAGCTACCACTACACATACACCACACACCCACGATCCCGGTCATACTACACTTCTTTAAGTAGTCCTACCAATAATAACAGACTGTTGAAAATATTGTCTACGAAAAATATAACAAAGTCGTTTCAATATTGGATAAAACAATCAGTATAAAACCAACAGACCCTCTTTGTAACAAAACTAACTGAGCTTAATCCCTAAAAACCTTTTTGTTCAGAAGCTCGCTTTACCCGTGACAGAACCAATGTATAATCATAGTAACTTTTGGAGGCAAAGGAGAGCTTGCATAAAATAATTTCATATAAGTTTTTAAAACTATAAACCGACTGGATATTCATATATATATATATATAGAATATATAACCTAGCTGACCCGGCAAACGTTGTTTTGCGGAGAGGAAAAATAAAATGACTATAAAAAAATAATGGTAGATCGTAGAAGGGTGAAAATTGAGGATTGTATGTATTTTTGTATATTGTATCATAAGAAAATAGAAATTAAAAATTTTGTCTAAAAAATAAAAATTAGGGTTGGAGTAACTAACATTTAGGGGGATTAAAAATAGATGTTGGCCGATTCTCATAAATACTGGATACGCACAACAAAATTCATCAAAATCGGTCAAGCCGTTTCGGAGGAGTATGTCAACGAAAACTGTGACACGAGAATATTATATTTTAGATATATTAGGTCGTAGATTCGATCCCTACCAGGTCCAACATTTACAACATTTAATCAATTTAAAAATCGAAAATAAATTGAAAAAAATTTTCGACTCGGGCAGGACTTGAACCGGCATCGTCAGCTTTCCGTGCTGTTTGCTTTTGATATCATCATAAATATCCAATTTTAAATTCGAGATCATATTGTTTGAATTTCATTTCCTTAAATTAAAAAAAAATGTATATAGCCTATGTTCTTAAGGAATTATTTTTTATTATTAAAGAACATACGTACATAGATTATCAAAATCATAAATTATATGACTAAGCTCTAAATCATTTTTGTCTATTGTATTAAAAGAAGATAAAATCCCGGAGTGCGGTCGGAACTATAAGTATACCATATAGAGAGTATCTTAATCTAGTAAATTATAAATGCGAAAGTAACTCTGTCTGTCTGTTACTCTTTCACGCCAAAACTACCGAACGGATTTGAATGAAATTTAGTACACAGATGGTCTAGACTCAGAGAAAGGACATGGCTACTTTTTATTGCGAAAAGGGGGGTGAAAGTTTGAATGGAAATTCGTGGTTTTCGAAACTTTCTTCTTTGGCATTTTGGAAATAGGAGTAGGAATAGTAATGAGAGTGGGAGTGAGTGTAGGAATGAGAGTAGGAGTTAGAGTAGGAGTGATGTGAGGTGAAAGTGTTGTGGCAAAGTAGCACTTACCATAGATTGACTGCAATTCTACCCCAAGTCACTATTCCACGCGGACGAAGTCGAAGGCACAGCTATGTAATAAATACACAATATTACTTTATATTAAGGCCGTCCCTTGAAGTGTTAGGTTATGGGCGCCATAAATCACACAGCATCAGGTGAACCCAAAAGCTGTTTTGTTTATCTATTTTTATCAACGCTTTATGGCAACATTTATTGTTAGAAAAAATATTTAATAAAACACATATGGACGATGTCTGATATCGTTTAGCCATTGTAAATTGTACTATAACAAGTATTGTAATGATTAAAACATTGTATCCCTTCGTAAGCTAGTACATTTTTCTCGCAGCATGAGTTATTACGAACGAATTGGAAAGAAAATATCGATGCTTTGCCTTAGGAGCAGGAGACGCTATACATCATATAACACATTAAAGTGTCATTATGTATCAAAGTAAACGAAAGTAACATTATGTATAAACAACGATCCAATACTGACTATACTGATATTTTCTAAAGCACTTGAATAGTATAAAATAATGCTTACATTAATTTATCTATACTAATATTATAAATGCGAAAGTAACTCTGCCTAACAGTAAGTCTGTCTGTCTCGCTTTAACTCCGAAACTACTGAACTGATTTAAATTAAATTTGGTACACAAATATTTTAGAGCCTAAGAAAAGACATAGGCTACTTTTTAATGCCAAAAAAGGGTTCATAGCAAATCGTAACATAGTAATTAAGAATTCTGCGAAGCTTTGAAGACAGATGAAAAAAAGAAAATCTATATCCTCTACTTACGGATAGAAAACATATACCGAGATCATGAGTAGGTACAGTTTCTTTTTAAGAGAAGGACAGACAACCATAAAGCACGCTTTATGCAAGGTAAACTACAACAGCCAGATAACATTTTAATAAGATGCGCTCACGATCTATTTTGGCTTTGGATATCCACAGACTGAAACCAAAACGGGATTAAACTTCATGAATTCTTCGCCTTCCTTCTATATATAACATGCATAAATATAAACATTTCGTTTGTTTAGGAGCTTGCCAAGTTTGGGCTGCAATTGGATTGCTAAGCCTCATAGCCATGGAAGGAATTTTGATTGGAGCCACGTGCTGGGACTTAGCAGAAAAACATCTTGCTGTGGGTTCATCTGTCGCGGTGACTTGCGAAATGGTGAGAATATATATTAGTTATTCTAAGAAACAATGTGTGTGACAAAATTCTGCCATTAAAACACGTATTAATTACATATACTTAGTCATTTTATATTCGTATTAATTTACAAACACATCGCGTAAAATCATATTTGTCAAAGGAAACATTTCCTTTTAACATTAATATTCGCAAAAAAAAAATTAAAACTTTCTTGGTTTAATTAAGTCAACATTAAGATATTAGCAATTTGTTCAGATCAAGAGGTCCACGGTTCGAATCTCAATGAGAAGATAGAATCGCAATATGTTGGTAGGTAAATATTTTTGTATAAAAATAACACAAGCCCTTAGTTTACAAGTAGAGGGTTTTATGATCACTAATTCTAGTAATGGTAGTTCAATACGACTTACCCACCTCACCCACTTACTGTCTTCTATGGGAGACCTGTGCCTCCTGTGGAACATAAATACGTCGAAACGAACGAATTGAAAAAATAGTTCGCTAATGGATTTGTACAGTACGCGTCACTTAGTACCAGCGAAAATATATGAAGATGTAATGCGGTAAAACTGTGTAGAAAGTGAAATGTAACATAAATCAGCTAAGACCCTCGTCAGGCCGCAGCCGACGCCAGTAAATAACTGTATCCACGCCGGGTGTCGCTGACAAACACCATTACCGAATCCAACACTCCGGTTCCGTAATATGACGCCATCGCCCATCACACTTATTGCAACAGCCTTAATCGATCTCCACATTTACGGAACAACCAACGTGTCACCGGTTCGATTCCGGCCGGGTCTAAATTAAAGTGTCTTATCAGTAGCAGGAAATTACAAGAAGTTATGAACCTGCCTCGTTGGTCTTGGTTTCCATTAATATACATGACTGCAGATTCAAATCTCTTCTTGTACAAAATTTTACTTCGGCATCCTGTATATGGTCACAACAGCAAACGAATGTGTGAAGTGTTACCCATTTTATGAAGAGCAGTTTAAGATATCCCTCTTAAAGGGTGGGGGGGGCCACCTAGCTTAGCAGTTAAAATTTTAATAAATGCTCTAGGATATCAAGAAAGAAATACCATGCAATTACACAAGCTTACCTTTTATAATAAGCAAAATTTTATTTTACAATAAAAAAATATACCACCAATGAGGCTAAAAACTCATCATATAAGTAATTATTTTTGTGTGTGAGCTCTGTTTTACACTCACCAGCATCAGGATAAATAAAATACTACTTAGTTACAGGCCGAACATTAATGATTATTGCTTTCGGGTATGTTAACAGAAAAGCATTACCCAATAAATATACATCAGTGTTGTAATAAAGCGGAATAACAAAGGGTTTACGCTTTTTGTATACACATTCTTCATTTAATATAGCTAGCCATTACCAAATGTCTACAAATACCTATATTGTTTGAGATTCTTAATGCCGCATAAATGAAGAATACTTGTAAATACCATATACATAGTACTCGCCAAACTTTTTGGCCGGGCTGAAGTAAGCGCGAATGGTTGCGCAGAACGCCAAAAACAGGTAACAGTTGCAACAAATCGGGGTGTGGAGGTACACGGCGACTCGACTTTGTGCTTAAAATTTGTCAGTACACATAGCTTAGTATTAAGTACCGAATTAAAAAAAAAACACTTTTTTGGCAAATCGTATAAAAGATGATGATGGCGTTATTATAGTTATGTCAGTGCAACTAATTTACTTAAATTTTATTAGGTCACTCTAATACTAAGGTCGAAATGCGCAAGATGGCGGTCTAACTTCAGCCCGGCCAAAAAAAAGTTTGGAGAGAACTGTACCATTAAAACAAAAAACAAACTTAAAAATACGCAAAACCTAGAATTTAAGTTGTATCTGTAGTAACTACTACGCATTAACAAAAATTCATTAAAGCAGTTGAAAAGCGAATTATATTTAAGTTATAGCACCCAGTCGAGTCGTAGTTAATTTTAATTAACTTAAAATATAATTCGCGTTTTCACTCGTTAAAGTTTAGTAGTTTCATTTATTTTGCTAAATGATATTGTAAATTATCACTTAAAACAACGTTGAGCGACCTTTTGGTTAGAATCTGCAAGACTAACAAAAAACAGATACGTCAAATTTATACGTTTTTATCTTAAAATCTTACAAATTAGGTTTATATATGGCATGTATATACTTATTTTTGGTTGTGTTGCAATTTATATTTGTTTATTAAGCAATATGTATTGTTTACAATTAAGGACAAGACGTAGTTTTAAAACACCTAAACGTACACATACATACCTATATTTACAAATTTAATTAGTTATGAAAACCTTGTATGTTTAGAAGGTGAAAAGTATTTTTGACTATGTAAACAAAATTATTTTAAATTGCAGTTCCGATTTGCCATGAAGATTTGTGCTGTAACGGTAGACTGCATTCCCCGTTGCCACGGCAATGGCACTTCGCTACCTTCGTTCCAACAATATGGATATTTCTTGTTCGCGCCTACCCTCCTCTACAGAGATTCGTATCCTAGGTAATTTTTACTGTATTTTTATATATTAAACACGCAATACTAATACAATTGGTTGAACCAACGCCCAGTTGATTATTAGCCCACACAGCTACCATTAGACGAACGAGCCCGACTAAGAAGAAATTCACTTTGAACTGAGCTAATAGGATATTCCCGGATAAGCCTAAGACAAATGATTTGTTTACCCGTTTAATGACAGAAAAAAAACCGGGTTTTTATTAAAGGGACCAAAGAGATTTCGTGTAACCCTCTTCAGGCCTTTAATCTCCACTGTGGTTACATTCACGTGTTTAATAAGTTACACTGCTATATACGTTGTATACTGCATCCGCCTTTTAAATAGTAACCCGTTTCTATACGTCTCATTCGGTATAATCACTCTTTTTCTCTTAACCTTTGCGATTTTTAATAAGAAAACTATATATTAATATTCATAACCTTTAAAGCTTTAAAAAAATATATATTATCCTATATTATTTTTCACTGTGTGTTAGAATCTTTTATTTTTAAATTAATTAAATTATAATATATATATTTAATAATGAACTTTAAAATTTATTAATATCTTTTTAGATTCTAAAATAAAACATTTAAAACTAAAATGTACAATTTAAAAATATATGCTTTTTTACTCGCAAACTGTTTGACCGGTATTGTTAAAATTTGATGTCGGTTTAGCGGCGACATAGAAATAACACGTAGATTATTCACTACATTAATTTTGTTACCCCCGATGAATATAATAGAATTTAAATTGGAATTACGTAATTTTTACTAGCCCATTCAAGTGTCACGTTTTAACAGATACTAACTAACTAGTACATATTACGATCCTCAGCATAATATTTCTATTTTAAAAATATCAAAAACCAAGCAAGTAGGAAAATGACATTCATTACTCCGCGTACAAGACAACTCGAGCTTGGCGAGCGAGCAAGTCTTTTTCATGAATAAATAATATTGTTTCAGAACAAAGAAGATTAGGTGGGGTATCGTTTTGTTTCACTTTTCTGAGGTCGCCGCCGTCATATTTTACAACTGTTTTCTCTGGGAGCGATTTATATTACCTTATTGGTCAGATTATGGTAAAAAACCACAGGTATTTTCCTATTGAAATACTTTGATATGTTTTATAATTCAAGAGAAGTTACACAAAGAAAGTAAAGTTACTATTATTATCTTAATTTTTTACGTAAATACAATTTACAAAAAGCAATATTCATCCACCAAATTATTTTGAAGATGATATTACAAATAACACTCCTATATAGTATAGTTTTGCAGCAAAATACAATGCATCTCGGTCTTTCACCCATTCTTCCAAGCATCTTATGAAAAAAATATATCTTCAGGTCGAAGCTGGGACGGTAGTACGAGGGATGTTTGCATGTGTGCTACCAGGATTGATATCATTTCTATGCGGTTTCTATTGCCTTCTACATGCGTGGCATAACGCGTTCGCAGAAATTATGACATTCGGTGATCGACGTTTTTACGAGGTAAATATAAGCGGACATTCTATAGACGGATAGTTTTTAGCTCTCCTATCACATAAAATAAATACTGAATTATTTACTCTACCGGATTAACTATTAGTTCGTTTTAAAAGTTTAGGCTTTACGATCTTCAAAAATCCAACTTTGCAATAAAATTAAAAACGGATTTATACTTCGTATGCACAATTGTCGTACTATGTACTCCAGCGAAGTGAAAAAGTTGTAATATACTTAGTCTTCAAGACTGTGCACCCATGTCCGACCCAATTGCTTTTTCTCGCCAACAGGGCTAACCTCGACTAGATTATCGGCGGGTAAAAAAAACCGTTCTTTAAATTTACATACGAATTTTATTTATATATACAAATTACTTTTTCTGTATCTGTTTCTGATAATTTGAAGAAGTACTTTTTCTTATATTTAAAATAATTTAATATTTTCAGGATTGGTGGACGAAGTCAAGATATTCTAACTATTACAGAGCGTGGAACCTTGTGGTTTCCTCGTGGCTACGTGATTATATTTTCCGTCCGATCGCGCCATACGCCGGGCGACCTGTTGCTTATGTAGTAGTGTTCTTTGTGAGTTGGTTTTCCATAACAATAAGCTTTTCAAGGCGTCCATTGTATATATATGACTAGCTATATCCACGGCGTCGTCTGCGTAAAATTGCTTTTACATTTTACTTTGAAGCAACGTTTGTGCCTAATGAAACCGCGAAAAGGTTTTGGCCTTCATTAATAGGTACAGATGTACAGAACAATTAATAATTATAATTATGTAGTCAAGATACGGACACGCGATTCTCAATACTTCGTTGTAGTTTAGACATTTGAATATTATACCTTTGAAACCTTCGCTTAGTAACTGAAATTACCACATGACCTAATTGTTTATTAAGAAAAAAGAAGTAGACACTAGACATAGTTCTTACAGTGTTAATAAATTACTTCTAGCTAATAGCTTCCAAACGTGACATAGACAAAATTAATTTATATTAATATAATTTAGGTAAGGATTTCATAGTTCTTAATTGCATAATTACAAATAATATTTACTGCCTCTGTTAAACGTGTTTCAATCGAGCAGATACAGAATATTCATCACCAACTTTTATCATCGATCTACCTTTAAAATGACCCGGTGAAACATAAATGGAAAAAAGGGTTAAATTTTTACCATACATTAGTAATTGACCGTGTTTCAGGTTTCATCAGTAGCCCATGAAATTATCTTGGCACTTAGTTTTGGATTCTTTTACCCTGTGTTATTCTTACAATTTGGAGTCATGGGAGTTTTGCTGCTACCATTGACGGCGTCTGCTGGTCGCCGTTTCCCCAGCATCTTCAATTTGCTTATGTGGCTGTCATTTTTTATTGGAACCGGTAAATATAATCTATGATTGTACACTACTTTATAGACCTTAAGACTCTATATATAAGACTCTCTTGGTTCTGTGGTAAAACACAGTTAGTATGTTACACGCATTTTAACAGCTGGGTTAAAATCCATACTTGCGTTCGTGGACTCATTCAGCGGTGGGACCTGTTAATTTGATAAAATTAAACTCTTTTATAGGAATGCTCTGGAGCCTTTACCCGATGGAATACTTCGCTCGGAAAAATTGTCCACCATCGAAAATGGACAGCTTCTTTGTGCCCAAATCTTGGTCATGCCCTGAAATCATTCTAAAACCTAATTGGACATTTGAAAATCCATTTGACTTGGAACACTATTAAATAAAACGCTCAGAGTCTATAATATAATGTATAATCAGAGTATCAAAACAATACAGCGAAAGATTATTAAACCGAAATCTTAAGATTAATAAAATAATTACTTGGATACATGTTGAACGCTGCTATATATTTGGCCTTTATGTTTTTTGTTACTATTAAATAAATGTGCTATGTATAATCTCTATGAAACATGGACTAATCTTATCACAAGAATTACTATTTAATTATGTATTGAGATATCTGGCCTATACCTATATTAGACTATAAGATTAAATGAATCTTAAATAATGCATTGAATAAAGACAGTACAAAATCGCATAAAAATCTAACATTAAGCTTAGGAATGTTCTAAAAAGACACTGTAATGACATTTGATATACATGACATAAAACAATAGATTCTTCTCTACTGTATGAATCGAAGGTAAACCGCAATATATAACATACTATTTTTTTTATACTTCTGTCATTAATTTATAAGCATTTTAAAATTCTTACACAATAAACATGGCAGTACTATATGATATTCTTCCAACATTCATTTTTTTTTCACAGCCTTACTCTAACATAACACTAAATAATATAGATTGTGCCAAAATGTGCTCTTTTGTATAAATTCGTGACAAATGTGTATGAAGGGCAAATTATAAATTCATGTCATCTATTAAACTGCTGGAGTCCTATCCAATTCTTTGAAGAGAGAACTTGACATTCTGAAACATATAAAAAATATATATTTAATGTGTTGTAATGAAACAAAACATTTGTTGAGGCCTAATTAAAACTCAACTAATTGACTGCAACCACTCGTTAAGAGATATACAATCAATGATTCATAGCTAAATAGTACTTACTTGCTTATCATATGTTTATAGATATACTGCGGAATAACAGTCACATTCACAACAGATGGGCCTTCATCAATAACTTTGGATATATCCTTATCTTTCATACCCACAACATTTATAGTATTTATTTCAAGTATTTGATGATCTGTTAAGAGGCCATTGCGAGCGGCTGATGAGTCCTTAACAAGGCCAATGATATTACCATCTTTGAACTGGAATCCAACATGGCCGAGAGAGTCCTTGTGGAGAGTTATAGTTCTCTCGAAAGGTCTAATAACAAAAACAAAACCATAAATATTGTTATCATTGTAATAAACATACTTTAATTACAATATAATGAGCTAAGTAATAAAACAAACAAACCTGTCTCTGACTGCCATGTTTATGCCATTAGTTGGTGATTTCTTCAAAATAGCATGGCATTGTTCCATTGACATTCCGGCGAGCGACACATTATTTATTTCCAGTATTTGATCACCAAATCTCAGACCAGCTAGAGCAGCAGGGCTACCGGCTGCCACATAACAAACAAACACCCCATTGTTTACGGAATGTAGTCTGAGCCCGCATTTACCATCTCTATCCTTGCACAAGATCACCTGCCGTATGGCTCCCGTGACAATAGCTTTTGATAAACTTTGAGATTGAGACGATATAGGTGCTATCATATTGTGTGTAGGCGCTGCAGCACCCGATTGAGCCTGGGTTAATAGAATCAGTTATTACACAATCTTATCGCTATTACAATATACTAAGTATGGAAGTAGAAATATACTCACTACTTGGATTTGATATTCAGGCATATTGCGAGCTATTACATCTTGAGACAGCTCCAAACCCATGTAATCACCAAGAGCAGGATAGACATGTTGAGGGGCACTTGGTGCAGAACTCTGGTAGGCCGGAGGATTAAAAACTGGAGCACTGTGCTGCTGATTTAACTGCGCACGTATCATGTTATCCACCTTCATATCCTCCAATGATGGATAGAGAGACATCTTGTGTAGTGTTGACAAAGAAATATGCTATAAAAAAATGTATTTTAAATGCACAGCAAGTAATTCCATGACAGTATTAAAAAACAACTTTACGTTTAATTAATTTGGCACATTTTATCTAATAATCCTTTAACTCTTACCTAAAAAGGTGTGCTATTTGAACTTCAATTGTGTTTTTAGAAATGTTAATTTACGAGAGATTGTAATTTCGTGCACACATTTGTTATATCAACAGGAAAAACCTAAATCACATCTATATAAATATGATTCATAACAAGATTATATTATTGACTGTGAGTAATGATCAATGAATGTAAATTGTTATTAGCACAACCAAAACTTCACAGACTAATAGAATTATAATCTGTATCCATCCTTATTTTCACAAGCGCTTATTCGATGCAATATTATATTATATTCTTAATATTATTTTGACAATGTTACTATTTGAATAACTTATCAATTTTTCTAATTTCATTTGGTTAATTTGTTTCCTATCAATTATGTCATCTTAGTCTGTGGTACAGACTACTATGGTTGGCTAAATAGTAAACATAACGTTACATTCTAGATAAAACATTGGATAAAATAAAATAGTAATTTAAAAAAATAATGTAATAAATATTCATTATTCTTAGACATTCCAAACAAAATTCAACTTTTTGTTTAAATTTGATAAATCCTGAAGTTTTTTTTTTTAATAGCGATTTTTCCTCCTTTTACATTTTTACCAGTTAGAAAAATACAATTACATATTTTTAAATTTAGGTTTACTATACGGCCGTTGTAACTTGGCAGGCAGGTTGATAAAGCGAGGCGGAGACGTTGCGCAGAAACGTTCTTTAGGATGTTAACCGCTTATTCTATCAAATTTTGTAATCGATTTTTATCGATTTAGATTGTGGATTTTAAATCGTATGAGATATTGTACTAAATGGATTGATGAACAAGTGATGGTTTTTAATAAACAATACCATGATTACCTTTAAAAGAAAATAAAATCAATAAAAACTTTTCTCATTATTGAACTACCTGATTTAGTTAAATATGAGTTATTATTTATATAATTACTATTTATACCTTCTTTAGGGCTTTTTAATAAAAATTATAGTTCTAGGTCCAATTTTAGGATCGGTAAGACATCTCTATTTGGTTTGAATCAATTAGTGTATTTTACTTTGAGTTTTGTAAAATTATCCTAGTAACAAAATAATTGAGTATTCGTTTTCTATACGAGTGTATAATAATTTAGGGAAAGATAAGTGTTCGTAGCCCTTATTCTCTTTGAATCAATTAATGGTATGTTCCTTTTTCTTACTATATATAGGTAAAATTATTCATTTATCCCAGTAACGAAAATAAATGGCATTATTAGTTTTTTTTACTTGTGTACATGCGCCAAAGTCAGTCTAGCCTCTGTTCAGAGCTGCCAAGTTACATCGGCCGTATTATAGCTGTATATGTCTATGTTGAACTTCTATGTTGTTTATCTGTGGTTACAATAATATTGTGAATTATTATGGGTTTAGTATTAAAGGAAATAATTATCTTAAATTAGATGTATTTGATTATGTGAACACTTGCTTATTGAAACTAACAATTGGTTATGTTTATATTTTTAAAAACTGAGAGATGTTTACTCAAAAAGAGCCAAACAATGCGAATAAAAGCCGAACTCCAAGGTATTGTACTATGGGCAAGGTTTTACAATCAGCATAGTTATTTAATATGTTTTTTATTTTGGACATTACATATTTGAAATAAGTAGTGTACATATATATGTACTTCTTCGTTGCTATTTTATGTTTAACTATGCTTCACAAATTTTGATTTATTTTCACTAACAATTTTAAATATTTCTCTAAATTATCTTTATTTGTTCTAGCCGATGTAGAGAATGGGAGCGTCAAAGACGTCTTAAATTTAATGATGCTATAACTAAATTGGGCAATTTAATAAGATCAATTGATAAAGAAAATGGAGATAGTACTAATGAGAAACAGGGCGCCACCCAATTTCCAAAAATTGAAATTATCCAAAAAGCAATTCTTTGCTTGACAAATTTTACTGAGGAAAAGTCTAAACTGAGTAAGTTTTATTTTAAAAATTACTTTTGTACCAACTATAATTATCTTTCTTTCCTAAATGGTAGATTTGACTCATATTTGAAATATAAGCAAAGTATGCACAGTCAAAAGATGTGCAGTGTTAAAGTTTTTAATGTTACATGTAACAGAATTTTAAATTTTTTTCAGAAGCTGAAGTATTAGCTTTAGAAGTTAAATTACAAGGGATTGAACAACAAAAATGTAATACTAAAGATGTTTGTGTTCAAGTCGCAGTTGGAGCAGTAAAAGGAAAACAAAGTCTGTATTTCGTTTTATTTTTTACCTTACCCAATGCAAAGAAATAGGGAATTTGTTTTTGTTACATTTATAAGCATTTCCAAAGCCTTAATACAAACTACCACATTACTTTTACCGCCACTCATCCATTTCCTTCCATCTATTTTATATACTGAAATTTGAATAACTATATTCATACATTGGTAATTTACTTTTTCTGCAGGTAGTAAATATCTCAAACTGTTAATGTTAAAGAAATCTAAAAATAAAGGTCCACATGTAAACAAATCGGATAAACCTCAAACTAAAGAAAGTGATACTTCTAAAGCAAGAAAACCTCTATCTCAACTACCCAAACTTTTGCCGTTACCAAATAATGTAAAGAAAGGTACTGTAAAGTTCAATCATAATAAATTCTAAAAAATTTTCATAAAATTACGTCAGTAAATAATGCATTTTTTTTTCAGAGAACACCATAGTCATGTTACCAGCAACGCCATACCTTTTTCCACAGAGACCGATTTTGTTCCCTGCAGCAACACCAACACTTGTCTTGCTAGATACAAATTTACAATCACTAAATAAGCAGCCTATTGTAAACAGAAATATAAGTGATATGACCAAAACGACTATGGTCAATGTTTTACCTATTTCTGCATACTCACATCCCTTGTCTGCTAATAGAACTAGGAAGAATCCAGCAAAACAAAAGAATATGTCTAAAAAAGGATCAAAGAAAAACAGAGATGAATTAGTCACTCCTAAAACTCTCGCTGTTAGTGAGAAAGATTCTTCTTCAGTTCAGAGAACAGAAACTTGTGAAGTCAAAAGCCAGACTAATCTCACTTGTGTGTCTGAAAAAGGCTCAGAGAGCACAGAAAAAGTAATTGATGTTAATATGTCAGAGAAAAGTATTAGTAATTCTAAGGATAATGATGTAAATGAAAATAATAAAAAAACATTAGAGCCCCTTTCCACTAAAAAGCCCTTAGAACCTGATATTAATGAAAATGTGAAAGAAAAGAATGCTCCAAAAGCTTCAGATGTAGAAAATAAAATAATATCAAACAAGTCTTCTGTCATTGGATCAGAATCTGTGATTCTTAATAAACCTCTTGAATTGAAAGAGCCTGAAAAAACTAAAGACAAGTTGCAAAACGTATTAGAACCAATTTGCGAAAATGCCGTAGATGCTGGAAACGCGAGACTGGAACTGGCCGAGGAATTTTTAGCAGCATCCCCTACTGCTGCGTTTCTCATGTCGTTTCCTTTAGTGAGTGGAAATCGTGCGGATAGTCCTTCCGAAGAGGCACCCCAAAATAACAATCTTAAAGAAAATATATGTAGAGCAGAGACACAACCGCAAACATTCTTTGAAAAACCGAACAATTTAAACCAAAAGCCGAAATTAGCCAGTAAACCACAAAATGTAAATGATCCTATTAAAAACAATAGTACTCCTGCCAAAAATAGTAACAAAACATTTAATAAGCCAAACGACATCAAAATACCGAGTTCAACATCAATTATAAGTAGTGTTTGTAATGACAATCCATTTTTAAATCTGCCACTTCCAACCGTAATTTCAACCAATTGCACACTACCTGATACATCATTCGGCCTTGATTTTGACTGCAGTATTAGTAAAACAACTTCGGGTCAAGTAACTAACTTTGCAAGCAGCAACAGCCTTTTCTATAAAAGTGATCCATTTAATTCAGTAAAAAATACAGTGTACAGTACTAGTAATCTTTCATCTGGACACGAATATAACAGTCTTGGCCTCTATCCGTGCGCGGTTGAAAATTACTCCTCTAAGAATAAGAGCGATTTCCCCAATATCGACGAAAATCTCATGAAAATTAACACTTCGAGACTAACGTACGATATAGACTTGGGTTGGTCACATAAAAGTCTTGACTTTGTCAACTGCACTACTGCCTCAAATTCACTTCACAAAGATAATATATTTACATCAACTGCGTCAACTTATTCAAGTGCATATAACCCTTTTAATCCGGAATTCCACGCGTCACTAACTAATGCAACTAAAAAAGATTTGTTGACAACCAAATCCTCTACATTTTCTGAAGCTATCACAAGCTTTTACTCACAGACTAATAATTTGTGGGCTGATGATGTAACTTCCATTTTTGCCAATGGAACAGCAGCGGCAGCAGCAAAAACAACTTCAACAAAGAACCAACACTTCATAGAACCTAACCAGGGGAATACTAATTTAAAATCAAATATAACAAAACAGTATGACAGTAAACATATGATAGTGCCCATGGAGAACAATATTAAAACCCAAACGGCGATTATCGGAAATCAACATAACATATTACCTGAAAAGTATACAAAAAAATCACCGAGTAAAATGCATATAAATTGGATGACCTCTGAAACCAGAACATCACAAAATACATGTGAACAAATACAGCCAGAGGTTAAGGAAAATTATAAATCTAATTATGGACATATTAATATGGCTTCAAGAAAAATGGTACAAGGCGAAAACAATTATTTTCCCATAAATATGCACCATATACCGTCCCAGAACAGTCACGAGGAAATCCAAATCTGGCCTTCAACTAAACCTGCTGGAACTGCAGAAATTAGCATTGAACCCCCACCTATTCACTTGCCGACCTTAGTGGGAGATCTAGCATTAGGACCCCACGAGAAAAAAAGGAATGATTTAATACAACGCGGGTTATATCAATCTGAACAAAATTGTTCAAATTTCTTTTCAGTCACGCAGCTTATGAACCGCACTTCAGAGAACGCACGTTTACCAAACATTGAAAATAAGCCCAATACAAAACATAATTTGAGCCATATTGTCAACGACGGTAATCGAAAATCTATGAACGCACGAATAGATACTTTACAAAATTGTTACGGCTTCATTGATACCAAAATAACGAACAATTTCGAAGCCGTGAACCAGTTCTCGCATACCAAATCCAAAACTATTAAACCGGAAAAAAATCCAAAGCAACATAAGAATAATTATTCCGCTGAGGCATTGATACGAGGAGGCACGTGTAGTCAAAAAGCTCTCGATAACAGTAATACCAAGTTTATTCTGCCCTCTCAGAAGTTTGGCGACTTTAATATCACTCACGATACTAGCGTCGCTCAGGTTTCGCATTACCCACCGTTACTCGACTACTCGGAAAATAGTTATGTTGGACAACAATATTCTGGCACAACGTTGTATAACTCTACAGCCAATACGATGCCAAATTCCTTTTATTCCAATTTCATGCAGACTGGAAGCAATTTAATGCCTAGTAGCTATACCGGTGGCCCGTTTACGGGTGAATTTATGGACTATAATAGCCAATCTACAGAATGCAATTACAGCAATCATAAATTTGATGACAAAAGCCGAAACACTACTCATTTCCAACACGATAAAAGCAGCCGAAGAGAAGCGGCAAAACATAAACTGGACTGCAATAAAAAAGAATCGAATAAAAAGTACCCCACGAAAAGAACAAAAATTAATACAGAATCTGAAGAATGGGGCGAACATCATAATTTACTGTGGCAAAATAAAACTACGAGTAAAAGACATTCTAACAACAATGTGATGCCAGAGGAATTGCAATTCCCTAATTTTGTCAGCAATCAAATGCCATCGCAGTACCAACCGGAATTCCTCAATAGTCATTTAATGCCTACGAACATTCAGAATAGTCAAAGTACTGACCGAACCGCTTCCACCTTTCCTGCCTCATCCCGGGGTAATTTCAATCTCAGTGCACTGTTTCCGGAAATTACTATGGTAAGTTACATTATTGAAAATTTTACTTTTTTAATTTTTGTATATGCATTTATAATTTGTTTTAATACTTTAATAACGCAATACTTACTATTTCCAAAAATATAAGATAATTATTTTGTTACAGAAAGTGCAATAAAATAATGGGCTTCGTTAATATACGCGCGTAAGACAACTTAATCTGTGATTATTCTAACATGTATTTTATTACGATTATTTAAAATATCGATTAAAGTTATTCTACATTATGACATTGTGTTTTATTGTTACGCTTCGAAAGCTCCTTTATCCAACCCTCCAATAAAGACGACTTTAGAACACCAAAACTAATTTCCATATTTACTTATTTAACGATGTAAATGTAACCATTTATATGGTTTATTTATTACATGTGCAGAAAATAGTATAGTGTTTTGTTTTTTTTTATTGGTTTTTAAAGTGGATTTTTTAAAAGGAAAATCATATCTGGGCTAATAATAAACATACAATTTTGTCTCTTCAATGTTAAAGTAGGCTGTAGTAGATCGCAGCCGCGTGTCACGCATAAAGTTTTTGTCTCCACGTCAAACCAACAGACGGTTCGTGCTTCAGTCCACGACCAACTTCACCGGGTAGATGTAGTGCGCGAAAGTTTGCGTCCGCGGGAAAAGTTTATGATGACGGGAAATTAAATGTTTCATAAAACGAAAGCATTTTAAATAAAAATGTAAATTATTGTGTTGTTATATTAAAAAAATAGTTTTGTATGAAAGTGCTGTCAAATACGATGATTTTATCAAATCTCATTGCGTTAATGGTATGTTGTATGTATGTCAAATACTGTTTTTCAAATAAGTTAAAATTTTTGGGTAAGCTATTAAATTAATTATGCTCGTGTATTTTTTAGAATTGTCCTTTTGTCCAACTTGTTTTTTTATACTTATTGGTAGCTATATATATATAAATTGACACATTTCGCTTATTCAATTAAACGAATAATTCGTTTTTAAGTAAAATGAAATGATAAAAGTGGTGCGTATGTAAATTTTTAACATCTCAATTTAATTTGGTATGATAGTCAGGAGACATGAACAAAATAACTCGAAAGAATATTTATTATCAAAATATAATAATTCACTTTACAGCCTTCAGCTTTCTTGGCTTATAATTTTATTTTACTTGCGGCCACTATTTGCTAATAAAACTCTGATTTAAATATAAGAAAATATGTTTACAGGGTTTTATATCGTATTATTAACTTTAGGATATCCTATAAACATATTTATGTAAAATTTAACCTAAGCCGCGCCCGAATAGATAATTATGGATCTTGTTTTGGGTTTTATTTAACTGAAGCTATAACTTCTGTCGAGAAGTGTTTATTTATAAAAAATGTATTAAGTCCGATATAAGTTTGTTAGATAGAACTACACAATTAACCAGCGTATTATGAGATAATCATTTAAATATTAGTTGAGGTGCAATTATATTTACAACCTTCAATATACTGAATAATGCATTTATTGATGACACATGTGCGCCTAATGAACGCATTAAAATGTATCAGGCGCAACAGCATGAAGGAAGGTTGCGCGGGCGCCGCCGGGATAGACATCAACGAAGATTTCTATCATGGGGGCTTAATCCCTCTAAATAATACGGGTGCGACAGACACTGAATATAAATAAGAGAATTCTTTTCATCTAACATATAATATAATATAGAAGGAATAGTTCGATTATGCCTTGGTTAATATTGAGATTTCTTTGTTACCTACATTTGACTGATTTTAACCGGTATTATTTTTGCTCTGTCTACGTGTTAATGCTAGCTTTGTTCTTTAATTTAGCATATCAATTTAAAGCATTTTCTTTACTTATTTTATGTCAAACGTTTACAAATATATTTAACACCCTGCCTACAACAAATTGTCAAATCTATCATTAAGTATTTTTTGATCAAAATAATTTTTAGTGGATTAGGCTAAAAAATTATCCGATAATAGCCAAGTTAATATTGAAAGACACGGCATTATAAAGAGTTTAGTAAATACGCGGTAATTCTCGTGTTCAGTGCATTGACGCTGTGACGCAGGAGCCGGCAACTATGTCAATGCCGCCACCTCACAGGCTCGTATCTATCATAATAAGTCTTATCGACCTCTTCGATTATCGGAAAACATCGAAGTCCTCGAAATACTTATGCTTAAGGCGAGATTGAGCGTTCGTGACCTTTACATATTATACAAAATGGACTGTTCAGTATTTAAAGCGGGAGAGTGAAACGTGCGAACAGACTGACTAAATAACTATCTTTCGTTATGTCATGGAAAAACAATATTGCTTTATACTAATGGATTTTAATTTAAACTTGTAACGTATTTCAAATGAAAAAAAAAACAACTCCACCGGCGCGGCTCCAACCAACACCAACAAACATAGCGAATTGTGCTGTTGCTTCTATTAACTGAGATACCATGGTTGGGATCCTCGAACTGCATCAGTCTAGTTTTTTATTTATGTAAATCACATGCACTAATAGGTTTCAAGCGTAACAAAGTAAAGTGATTATCAGTAAAATATCACTTAAGTTTACCAATTAATATAAGGGTGCCCTGCGGCAGCTTGTGACCTTTTCATTCGTCACAAGGGTCAAGCTCTATTTTAACTTAGTAAGAACCATTTTTATTCATAACAAGCTAGGCCAGCGACTTCGTCCGCGTAGAATGGTTATTGTGGGCATGCAATTTTGTTTCTGTAAACCTCATCTTTATCAATGATAGCTGTTAAGTGTTACCGACGACGGCGGTGACGACCTGTTTACTCGAAAGTAAACAATAATAGGTAGAAATATACTGTTTCGGACATTTTTTTTAGATCATTTAAAGAGGAATCCATCTTTCACACTTATTTTTTGGGAAGTAGCGCACCGAACGAAAACCCCTAAATATGAATAAATTCCCCCGCTGTTTTCCACACTTCCCTCTGATCGTAGCGTAATATTTCATAACCAAAATCGATAAATGCTCTCACCGAAACGAAAACAATTAACGAACCATTGTTGATTATTGCCTGAGATTTACGGGATTAAACAAAGAAACTTTAATTAGTATACTAATATCTATAGATAACTTTTTATTTTAATTTTAAAACGAGAGAAAAGCCACGTAATTAAATCTTTAATACGTAGTAACGTTTCCCTTGCAACAGAGTAATTTGTACCTATATGTCATGCCTATTTCTGAGCACGACTTAACCCGGTTATAGTTACATAAATATCCCCCACGTTTACTATTTATACATCTATTCTTATGAACATAAAATGTTGTTTGGTTTACTTAAGCTACTAGACAATATTACCCTAATAAAAATCGCAAACCTTAAAGTGAAAAGGTATATTGAACAATTTAATATTTTTCACATGTTGGTTTTTTATTCATTAAAAATCGATTAAAAATTGAAAAAAATATTAGCGGGCAGTACTTGACCGGTATCCGCATTTTTCCGTGCTGTTGCTAGTCCTACACATCGTCGTCGATTTTTTTAACCTGTCTTAACAAGTCCCGCCGGAGTCGTAATTTTTTTCAATTTATACGAGTAATCATTTTTTAATTCAAAAACGTACTTAATTCATTAGATAAAGCATTCAAGGACCATTTCAATGTTTTCCAACTTTCCTATTCGTCTACATTAAGAAGACAACAAAGTTTATATAGATCAGATATGACCGAATTCACTTGTATGCGAAAGCTTGACCTTTTAAAACTGTTGAGGAAAATTTGGTGATAATTGTTATTGTATAAAAGCTCTGACCCCCAAACAAAGCTCAAGTTATAGTGATTACAACATACAAGGTTGCGTCACATAAGATAAATACTATTTTATACATGGTAAGGGCTTACCTTAGTTACTTACTGATACTTTTAAATATAAATTATCCGTTCTACTATGTACTATTGTTGGACTAGTGTAATTCTTTAGAGAGTATTCGACGTTAGCATCTTTAGAGTTTAGAGTGCGAAGTCGCTCCTAGCTTTTATATACATAATATTCTAACAAAATTATAAATATATTGTCCGTGTATGACTAGATAATACGTAGATAATCATTTCACTGTGCTTCTTACTTAAAATCCTTGGAATATGTACATAAGTTGTTGGTTAAACTTTTTCCATATTCGAGCTGAATTATTATTTTTGTAACGGTATTTAAGTAGTTACTAGATATCTACGGAAAACTCGAATTGTGGAGGGTGCGGGAGGTGCTTAATTGTTTTCATCACTTCTGTAATTTTGGGTAAAACTATTTATTATGTTTCATTAGGGTGCGTGTGAGTGTGAAATCCCGTTTCGCCCTTGTGGGGCATGGGGCGAACACATTTCTGTGTCTATTTCACTGATCCGTTAACAGACAAGTCGTTGATCAGACTTCTGTGCCTTGCCTGACCGAAACAATTGTTTGTTTCCCCGGGATTCGAACCCAGGATCTCTCGCGCTTACAATTCTAGGCATACGTTTAACCATTTGCCTAGAGAGGCGGGCAAATTTTTCATTAGGGTACTAGACAAGAATTTCTGGTGTTCTCATTGAGGCACCGAAGTTTTTTTTTTTTACTTTAATATCCAAATGATTGTACACTTATGTAGGTCACAATTTTGTTACTGTCAATATAAAGTACTCATCCAAGATGGTTACTTTCACAATACAAACGAAAATTATGACTTTGTGTCTCGTGAGTGAACCTGTTGCTTTGCAAACAAGTTTCGTTGCCTACCACACATTCAGTGGAGTTACGTAACACTTGAACGAATTATTGCTTATTTCTTGTATTCAAGTATGCGTCATACACTTGTCGAAAAATGCATAGCATTATTAAGTTTACGTATCAAAATGCTAGGTTATTAAACAATTAAGGAATAATTAAGCAAAGTGGGCGTAACGCTTTTGAGCAAAGTATTCAGCGTTTAGTTAAACGGGTTATAGCCACAGAAGTTCAAATGATTTGCTTCATGATAAACTTAAAATATTTAAAATTTAGTTTTTTTTTTTATATTTCTATTTAAAAAATATATAATGTTCGTTTTTTACAATTGTTTAGATGTCATAATGCTTTCCAAAAGGTGAGTCTACAAGAACGCTAAAATAAATAACTAGCCTTTATTTTTTCATGAAATAAACAACAAACCAAGTCTAACTATTATTATTGAAAATTTGGTTTACTGTGATTACTTGTTTGGATGCATCCATATTCCAATAGGTACTTCCAAGATCTGAATTGTATCAACTGACATCTTTGAATTTTATGTTACATGATAAAAAAGTGATATTGCGTTCACCCTATGGGGCTTGGGGTGAACATATTTCTGTAGCCGTTTCACTATTCGATTTTATTATCTGGCTTACAGGTACCTACGTACTCCTCTTGTGCTGAACTAAATGCTAACTGACGCAATTAGTTATTGATCTACAAAGGATATTATTAAAAGTCTAACCAATATCGATTTGTTGAACAATTTTCATTTTCGTAATATATAAACCTAGATCGTAAACGTAAGGAGACATATTGTAAAAAGTTTCAATCCACACTTCGGAGTTCTTTACGAGCAGACAATATTGGAAAAATGTTTGTGGCACGTGTGCGCGGAAGAGCTGACTTGAACATTTTAAAATTACTATTTCAAGTCGCTAGTCTACTCTTTGTACGTTTTTATGGCTATCTATTGCCGCAAAAGTAAATAAAATGGTAACACTGTCGGAATTGGATATTTTCATTCTGGACAATGTGGCCTTTACAGTTCCCTCAATACTTTAGCTTTTTTTTTAAACTGGTAATTTTTAAAACTAAGAACTGTTTTGCTTAAGCTTGAATTATTAATAGACATTTTATCTATACAACAACAGTTACCTATTGTTTTTGAAATACCGTTTTCTCGTAGTAAACAGTTTGGCAACGTAACGCGTTACGACGATGTTACCGTGTTACAGCAATGCAAATTTATTATTAAATTGACAAATTTCAAGTTATGCTATTATTTCTGTCGCGCCTGTACTGTATTTTTTTCTGGTCGGATGAGTCAATTAATTATATTGTACTGGACATTATAATTGTATTTTTTAAGTACAGCAGTACTTTTCTTTTGTTGCCCTCTTCTTAATGGGACAGAAATTAAAATCAAATTCATTTACAGGTGCATTCTTTATGCGTATTGACATTAATAGTAAATCATTCGTATGGAGAGACGTTTACATTAGGATACATCACAGGGTCACAGCGACGACCTGGAGACATGAACTATCCGAGACCTGGAAGAGTTATATCAGGTAAATTCAATAATGCGGATATTTTCTTAAGAATTGGCCGCTTTGACAATAATGAGAAGCACTAACCATCTTCAGTATAGCGTTCCTTTCATTAATCAGAAGTTTTAGCTAAAGGTTTACTTTTAAATAAAACATGTGTACTACTCGCGTAAGCTACAGAAAAGAAAAGGTTCGTTCATTAAACAAACATGAACCAAAATTCGCCGGTACCTCTTTTGTTTCCTTTGTACCACTCTCTGTCTACCTCTACTTAGTATCTTCGTGTGGGATACGTCTTTATCACTTGCTTCGTGGGGCATGGGTTAATACACTTCTGTGTCCGTTTTACTGATTGTGTTTACAACCAAGTAGATGATTTCTGTGCCCTGCACGATCGAAATAAGTTATTGTTTCTCCGGGATTCAAACAAAGAGCCTTTTGAACTTAATGCCTAAGTGATTGCTAAATTTGTAAATTGCGAAATAAATATATTTATGGATTGCGTAAAGGTATCGATTACATTTGTCAACTAGTTCTTAATTAAATTGGGCGACATACACTTTATTTTGAACAATATTTAAATAAGTATCATTTTACATACTATCTAATTACGCTGATTTTTACTTTTAAAACAACAACAATGTATTCAGTTGAAAAATTGAAATACATACATGAAATTAACTTTCTAATCGTCTGTAAACAGGTGCAATATCTATGGCTATTGAGGAAGTGAATAAAAATCTTCTCGGACCTATGGGCCATTCCTTGGACTTCGTAGTGGCGGAGACGTTTGGGCAAGAAGAAGTTTCTATAAAACAGGTAAAGATTAATATTACGTTATTGTATTTTTTAAACGCAATCCAGTTCAAACAGACGTCTTATTATTGATATTTTTAAAAATAACAGGTTTAACATACAAATAATATGTTGAGCCATTATTTCATATTGTTGGCGGCCTAAGAGATACTCAACAATGCAAAATTCTTTCTTTCTTTGTTCATTCTGGTATCGTACAACAAAATTAAAAAGTCAAGTATAAAGTATCAAGCGAAAGTACATATTTCAAAACAGGTGCGACATAAGTATTCTTAAGAGAGTCATTCACATCACGAAGCACTCCGTACTCCAGAAATAATTCATCTGTGCGTTATTCCTGAGAATCGCAATGACCCAGTATTAGCTAGCAGAACGCAGATCGCGTTCAAGTCA